GGCTACAAAAGATACAAAACATGTTGAAAATAAAAAATAAATAAAAGTAGATATAATAATAAATAAGAAGAAGTTGTCAGACACAGAAATAAAAAGATGATATCAGAGATATAGTGGGTGACAATGTAGTTAAAATATTAAGTATTATACATGTAGAAGATACAAACAAAAGGAAAATAAGTATGAATAAAAATAAAAATAAAGGAGAATATAGCATGTAAGTTAAAAGTAAACAGACTGCGATAAAAGATAAGGAATAAGTGTATAACAAACTAATAGAGACTACATTAGATAACTGTGGATTAACAGATAAAGAAAATGAATGTTAACGAATAAATAGATTGAAAATTGAATAAGTATTATTATAGTAAAGTTAAAATAAGAATAAGATAACATAATACTAAGATAACAGTGGATAACAAGCTAGTGGAGGTTACATTTGATTGTAGGTAAACAGATAACGGGACTAAAGGTTAAGATGTAAAGAAATTGAAAGATTAATAGGGTAACATTAGTGTAATATCGTTAGGATAGATTATTAAGTATAAATAACTCTATAAGAAAACAATAATTTTAAAAGAGAACTTTAGAATGTAAGTATAAATGTAAAACAAGGTTATGATGATAAAAAAAAAAGTTGTACTATACATAGATGACAATTGACATTCAGTTTTTTGAAAGCGGTAATGGAATAGTAGGCTGCATGAAGATAATAATAAGGTGTATAGTTGAAGGATAGGTGTGTTAAGAAAAGAATCACAATAAAAGTCAAAACATACCGTAGGATATAGCACTGCGGGAGGCAGTTGAAACACTGGCAGTGTCAAAAAAACCTCAAGTAAGCAGTGTCAAAAAAAAAGGCTCTAGTAAAAATAAATACATACACACACACAAATATATATATATATATATATATATATATATATATATATTTATTAAAATTTCTGAAAAATGTGAATAATGAACTGCCTGGCCCAGCACAAAAGTTAAGAAGAAAAAATAAGCCTGATATGGCTGACAAAGGGGCGGGAAAAGTGTCAAATCCACAGAGGGTTAACAAGACAGATAGGAGTCGTTGGCAGGAGCAATACAAATACGAGATAGCTCAATATAATTATTATAACAGAAGAAAAAAAGTAACAAAAAAAATACAATGCGTGTTAGTGTTTCTGGATGTCGGCACTTTTGACAATGTTGGTCACAATCATACCATCAGCTCACTGGAGACAAGAGGGATCTCACCGGACTTGAAAAGCCTGATTAGGGCTCTCCTAGGTACTAACTCAATTGAGATTGGAGTCGGAGCCCACTCGACTAGCTGGATCAAAGTGCGGTGAGGAGTATCCCTAAGTCACAACAGACCCTTGCCGCCTTCACTGATCAACTTGGCTATAACGCACCGCAACCTTTGTGAACTAGAATTTTCAAAGTGTTATGGATACAAGCTAACCAGTGAATAAGAATGTGTGGTCCTCACAGGCTTCGCAGATGACCAGGCAAAAACTCCCTCCTCATAACACACCGGCTCCATAGGGTGAAGTTTGAGTTGATGACGCTCCTTACATAAATAAAAGGAATTCACCTGCTTTGACGAGGTCAATTACATGGATAGCGAACGATCTACAAGATATGCGGATAATGTCGCATTTCCCCAGACAGAAAGAACAGCGATGATCTTGGATCCAACTGTCCGCTTTGGTAGCAATGACCTTGATCAGGCAGATGAAGTGGAAAGAGAAAGAAGAAAATTTATGATAAATGTATCTCTTTCCTAAAAGTTCAGCGTAACCTTCAGAGAGAGAGAGTTCGCCGTGAGAGGCCTCTCGGAACTATTTCAAAAAGAGCAAGGAGCTTCCTCGAGAAACTAGGTGTTCATGTCTGGGATCTTGCAATTTTGGCCAAAAATATTATATTAGACTCCCTGGGGATCATCCACTACCACTTATATTATAATTAATTATTTATAATTGAGGATTTTCATTATCATTTATTTATTCAATTTTAATTTTAGCATAGTCCTATCTTTTTGTTTAAAGTCATAGAATTGCTATGGTATATATTGTAGTAGATGGACTCTACTTCTCCTTTATGTGACAGAGTGAGGAAGTGAGAAGGAATGTATAGTAATGTAGGATTACACTATGAATTGGACTCAATTGTGCAGTGGACAAGTTGTTGAGTATAGGTAAACTTGATGACCAAGTTACAGTAGAACAAAGAAAGGAAGAAACCTAGAAAAGTGTCCGGTAGGTGACAGCAACTGGAGAGGGACGCTGGAAAGATAAAGGAAGGAAAAAGACTTCACTTGAGGCTGGGACATGAAGACGGAAGTATGAGATGGGAGAAGAGAAGCCCCCGCCACTAAAGATTAAGAAGATCAAGCCTACAGTTATAAGACTTTAATATATTCATTTATTACAGTTGTTGAAATAAATTATTTTGTTATACAGGAGTGGATATTACTTTTATTTAGTTGTCCTATATGCCTCACAATTACAGAATAACAAACCAGGTGAGTCAATTCATTCAAAGTGTATTTGCTCAGTCCCACATTTAATATATGTATATATTCTTATTACGTCTTGCCACTCAGTGTCACAAGAGCATTAGGTTCTCGAATTCCTAATTACAGTAAATACCCTCAAAAAAGTTTGTATCCAGAGCTAGGTTTTTTTTTTTTTTTAAATTAAAATTTATGAGTGTAAATAACCAAGACCACCGACAAAATGGAAGGTTATTTACAATTGGCACCGAACAAGTTATTTACAATTGGTGCCGAACAGAAATAAACTGTTGATTGGGTTGCGGGAGATTAATTAATATTCAATTAAATAAAAATAAATAAGTTTGTTTATTCTGAAATTTTAAAATGGTGTTGTGCAAAGACCACACTAAAATATTATAACAATCTGTAGGTTTCGAGCTAAAATGCAACCGTTTGCAATTTTTGATGTTAAAGCCTCACGCAGAAATTAATCATGCATTCTTAAACAAAGGAACTCAGCAGCTCAGCCAAATGTTAACACGCCAATCATTATGGCAGCTCTTAAATCCATGAAAGATGAATTAAAAATGAAGTCAATGTATCAAACATTCCATTTTAAACAATTAAAAAAACTAGGTACCAAGTCTGAAGATGTCACTGTTGTACAGAGCTCTGCTTTTCAAGATAAAGAACCAACAGGAAGGAATTATGATGATAGTGTTATGGAAACTAAATATGATGATGATCTTACAAATGTACAAAGTACTGAAATATTTTAGAAAAAAATTATAATGAACATTTAGATGGAAGTCCTACTCATGAAGAAATAAAGGAAACCACTGATGATGGAAAGGATTATGGGGATACTGTTATTTCAGAAAGGTCCATGGCCAAATTCCAAATGAAAAAGAAATAATGAATGAGGATGAGTCTAAGTCTGATAACATCAATCCTGATTTGCCAGAAGTAGACAATTTGAGTGAAGCTGAAAAAGGAGAAACTATAACTGACAATACAACTAATGATAGACCTTCTAAACCTAAGGACAATGTTTTAGACATCAGTGATTCAAAAGAAATTAAAGCTGATAAGGGACCTTACCGGATAGAAAAAAAACTTGGTGCTATAGACCCAGGTTAGGAAAATGCTAAAATAATATTTCTAGAAGTTTATGGGGAAAAAAACACAGACTTCATGTTATGGATATGAAATAAAATAAATAATAATAAACAAACCGGTTTAATAATAGAGGTTACTCGTTAATTTATGCCCATTTAGGATTTAAAACATTTTTTTTAACCTTTTATATTCGCTTTTTCTAGTGATAATTGGATTTAGCTGTTCATTTTAAATTATCCGGTAAATTTTCTCTTATACTTAAAACTGATTATTTTGTATATATTGTGTATTTTATATACATTCATGTAAATAATTTTATCGCTGATACATGAGTGCATTAGAGAATAATTTTATCCTGCACATTAAAATTTTAAATTTCCATTCCAAATAAAGTTCATTTCAACACGGTTATTTTTTTAAAATTTTGTTGTTCGCACTCAGACACAAAATTTAAAAGCTGAACGGTGGGGATATGTAATAGATGGCCTCTATGAGAAGGAGTGTAGGACTGCACTATGAATTGGACTCTTGAAATGTGTGTGCAATTTGTTCTTATATTTCTAGGACTCAGAAAGTGTCTTTTTTTTTTTTAGATATGTAAGTTAATTAATAATAATATTCTAGTGTAGTGTATTGAGAGTATTTTATATGACTAGTGTTATGATAAGGTAGAAAAAGGAGAATATCTGTATATGTATAATAATAAAATAATGTAACGTAAGAGTTATGCCCATATAGATTGATTAGTATGCTGTGTACAGAGCAACCCTATGAAGTAGGGCAGCATTACTTTCACTGAAGTATTTCTCTCTCTATCTCTAATTCTGAAAAGCATTTATAATTATTTTTGTTTATTCGTGTTTTATTCTTTTACAAGAATTATAAGGATTTTAATCAATATATGACAAAAACCTATCCATTGCTGCAAGTTGAAGAGCTTAAAAGCAATAAAAATGTTTATCTATTTAATAAATTACAGCAGACTTGTGGTTAAGGGACCTCCAATATTTGAGGCTCTGGGCTACTAAAGTAAATCATAGAAAATTATAGAACTAAATTATGCTATTTATAAAACATCACCATTTTTATTTTTTTGCTTTCCCAAACAGGAAAATTAATGACTTTACCATTGAAGATAAGGTTTAGAATCATTTCAAAACATGGGAGTTTAAACTCCAAATTGGACTTATGGCCATCTAGATTAGCCATATTTCCCACTATGCGAAATTCTGAGATTTTATTATTTCCATATTGATGCCAATTGTTGCAAATTAATTTTGACTACATTGAACTATTAAATAAATGATAAACTACACTGACAAGTTTTAGGATAATATAGTACCAATTATGATGCACAATGGAATAATAGTTTTAGTTAAAAAATAATGAAAGTTACCTTGTTTTCTGTAGCTAATTGATGTATTTCTTCTTCTGTTTTAAGAATACTATCTTCATCAGCTTGTACTGCTTTCCCCATAATATGTGTCATTTCACTAATTTTAATAGCCTGATCAATAATGATCTGTAGACATAAAACATAATCATTAATTTAATTATCATTGGTAATGTTGTTAATGTGGGCATTTCAACACTCGGTGGCAAAGCTGGCTCAGAGTTCAATATGAAAGTTCATGGACCAAGAAACATTTAAATATCATCCTCTTTCCTATTCTACATCCCAGTGAGATACATTTCAATATACTATTTGCTATATATAAGGAAAGAAGCCAATGTTAATATAAAAAAAAAATCAAATATGGAAAACTTCGTCAAAATTATGAGAAGAGAAAATTTTCTTGCATAACTTATAAGTTTCTAATTTTCAAGAAATGTGGACTTTCACACATACCAGTTGAGGCAGGAAAGAGCATTACGAGTTGAAATAAGAAATTTACACTCCTCAACATTTCAGGCTATCATGGACAAATAGGGCTACTCCGCCTCCGATTCTTTATTTTCTCTATCGTGACGGAATAGGGTATAGTTAGGGAGTGAAACTTGAGAGGATGTGCCAAGTTTCAGAGATGGCGATTAGGTGGTAGAAGTTGTGGAGGAAGAAATCATGGAATTCATCTATGAGGGCTAAAAGTGACTGTGTGTTGACATGACAGGATAATAGGACATTAGTCATAAGAGACAGTAGATTGCGATAGTGAACCGGTAGGAGGGGCAAAAGATAAGGAAATAATTAGGTTGGATTGATCCGAGATACACTGTAGATGCTGAAACATTAATAACAAAACTATTGAAAAATAGAAATTAGAAAAAATAGGTAGAAGAAATAATCCAGATAGTATCCTATAATCAGTGGAGATAAGAAACAAAAAAAACAGTAGATCCATATAAATAGAGAACAAAAATATACTTTGGCAAAAAATGAGCAATAATATTAATAAAAATAATAATAAAACTGGCTGCAATACTAATAACAAAACTGATCAATATAATTGCTTCTCCTGGGAAGACTGCAATATACACATAAACAAAATTGAAAGAAATATTAAAGTTATAGAAATTAAATAAACAGAAGAAAGTAGCTAGAAAACGAGGTGATAGTTTGGAGGAACGAGTGCAGAGAAGTCAAGCAAAGACGTCAACACTATATGTTTATAACAATGTACTATGTTAATACTCTTATAATTTTGTTTATTATTTACCAACCTCTTATTTCTGTTGGAAGTATTCCAATAATATAAAGTGATCTTCCACGAGGTTATATGATTAGTTTAAAAATATAAGTGATATTACAGTATACAGTAGCCAAACACAATTCTCTAGAACATCCCTCCTTTAATTTATAAAAGCTAATAAAATAAATTTTGAACTAAATATTTTTATTCAGAAACAATAAGTGAGAGGAAAATTGGTAAGATATATCTATGGTAAGATATAGGTAGAAGTCTTGAAGCTGGAAATGCCATTATAAGCTAAAAAGTATAAAATAATCTACGATATGAGCTAGTCACTGACATATTTATGTCTCCACTTACGATATGGAGCTTCATCCCCACCATTTTTCTTTCACACTAATTATCTTTGAAAATATGCATAAAAAATTGGGGAATTTTTGCTTTTTTATTGTTACACCCTATTCTTCATTAACGAATAATAATTGAAAATACCTTCATATTTAAATGTTGTTTTGAAAATTAAAATATCAGGTGTGTCCATTTACATGACTTTCCTTACCGCTTTGGTTATGAAGTTCAATATAAAAGTTATTTTCTGTATCCTCGCAAATGATGGTCTGATAAATACTTTAATTTTTTTTTCTATTTCTTTTTACCTTAAAGTGTGGGTTTTGATAATTTAATCATATTTTAAATAGGCATTTGAAATATTGAGGGAGATTTTAAGTTTTCAATTTACTCAAAAAAATTAAAGAAAAGTGAACAGGACTCTTATGTGAATAAACTCAAAATCCATTCAAATAATTTTAAAAACATGGGTACAAATTACAATATGCCATATATTTATTTGCTAATACACACCTACACATATATAATATTATGTTTTTTTATACTAGTTGTTGAAGCAACATTGGTACATTTTTTGTTGAAAATTTAAAGATTTATTTTTTATACTTAAAATTTATTCAATTAAACTTAATTCTATTAATCTCTGTACTAAATATACTTATCCTTAAAATAAATAAATCTATTTTTTTAAAATAACAAAGTTTGCTTTTATTATTAGCTCAAGTAAATAATACTTTTCCCAATTTAGTTCCACTTGTAAAAGTTCAACATGCGTATGAATACCAGCAAGTTGATATCCATGTGAGACCGAGCTCAATGGACATCTTTCTTCTTTATTACGATCCGAAACATTCCTCAGTGGAATATGCATTATGTAACCCCAAAGGTCATTCATTATCATTGCTACACCTAGAATGAGATTTACATCAAACAGTGAGTCCATGAAAAAAAGACTTTTATAATACAGAATGCAGCACCAGTACTATGCGCACTCCATTTCAGGTGGTAACGCAATTCGCTAGGCTTGGACTTCAGTGTATTTTAGTTTATCACGGTATAAAAGATTTTTTTTTCCTTGTTCATAAAATGTCGAGTTTTGGGACAATTAAAGATTATTTGTGTGGAATTTTGCTGCACTATTTTACTCAAAAGAAATTTACAGCTGAAACACAAAATTCTTGTTGAGACTTACAGTGAGTATGTTCTGTCAGAAATGACACATACTCGTAGAGACTGGTTTTGGCACTTCAAAACAATAATTTTAATCTTGGAGACAAGTCAAGACAAGAGACAAAAAAGCCCTGACAGAAAATTGGAAAGTTATTCAATGTAGACCCATGTCAGATGTTAACAGAACTTGGAAAATCGTTACTAGTAGATGACACAACTATTTTTAAACCTTTGAAAGCTTTAGGAATGAACCAGAAGCAACGAAATTGGGTGCTGTACGAGTTGAAGTTTTTGGCATCATATCATGACTGGCGATGAAAAATGGATACAGTACGGTAGTTGTAAGCTTAAAAAACCATGAGGTAATAGTCATGAGTCAAAATCATCCACAAACCCAAATATCCATGGTTCGAAGCATTTCTGCATTTGGTGGGATCAGCACAGTGTAATTTCTTATGAGCTGCTAAAACCGAATGAAGCAATCACAAGAGAACACTGTCAACTACAATTGATGCTTTTGAATCGAGCTCTAAAGAGGAAAAAAAGCCCGCTATACAAGCAGAGACAGGACAAAGTGATTTTATTGCATGACAACGCTCGGTAACATGTTGGAAAACTGGTAAATCCTACCTGGAAACAATTAAATGGGAAGTCTTGCCCCACCCACCGTCTTCACCCTTCCGATTAACACTTCGTTTCACTTTTGTGCAATGGCACATTGCCTGGATGAGCAGTATTTCCATTCTTACGAATTCCTGTATAGCCTTAAAATACGAGTCACTTTTACAAAGTGGAATTCATATTCTCCCAAAAAGATAGCAGAAAGCAGTGGCTAGGGATGAGTAATACTTTGTTTTTACCACTTACTTTCAATAAAGCATTAACTTTCACAGAAGACAGCAAAAACTTATTCAAAGTCCTAATATATTTTTATGTTTTTTCTTTAATAACAACAATAATAATAGGCTTAGCAAATCCAAAGGTTCCATACCGATACCACCAATCACTGTCTACATACTTTCATCCACCTCAACCCCAAACCCACAAGATTAGCCTAAATGCAATCTTTCCACCTTTGCACCTGATGCAAAAAAATCAAAGCTGAAGAGTTATGCAAAGGCAGCAAGGGGACAGTTGGTAGGTGATTCCTCACAACTATCCGCAATCACAACTTACTTGCGAGTAGTGTGATGTTCTAAAAGCAATGATAGAGGGAAAGATGGGTGAATGTCTTATGTGAATCTTGGCTTGATGACCACACAATATCTTGAGTCTTGAAGTAACCAATGCTTGTGAGATTAAATTGGTGCCTTCTTCCCTGGTAGGATACTGACTGAGGAGGCTCCGGGTGAAAAATGTGACGATTGAGGATATTTGCAGCTGGAGCGTGCTTCACATCAAGATTATGGATAGGCACTTGTTCGGAATCTTTAATATACCTCTGAAGGACCTTGATAGTTTGAGAGCACATGTGATGCAGGTGGGATGTGGTATGCTTAATATCATCTTTAGACATATGAGAGAGTAGTATCAGGTCAGTCCCAGCTGATCCCTAAATTCCCCACCAAATGGATAAAACTCAGGAAGGGACCACAAAAAAAGTGGGTATGAGGACCCTCCATTCACTGTTCGGTGTTTACTCAAATAAATACTTATTAGAGTATTAATCGTGAATAAAAATTTAATCATTACTCATCATTCATTAATCACACACCACATTTTAAATCATCACTTATCACTCTCAAATATCAGTGATTACTCTTAATCATTTCTCACCACTCATTTTCGTCATGAGTAAATGATAATTCCTATATTTGTTATTCTTTTATTATGCATTATTGTCTTATTACTCTTAATCATTTCTCACCACCCATTTTCGTCATGAGTAAAGGATAATTCCTATATTTGTTATTCTTTTATTATGCATTATTGTCTTATTACTCTTAATAATTTTTTACCACTCATTTTTGTCATGAGTAAATTATAATCTCTTTCCTAAGGATAATCCCTCCAGTGTAATTGTTATCCCCATGAATATTTAGCCAGTACCCACTTATACCCACAATTTTAAATGGTAAATTTTTAAACTAAAAAGTTCTGATGGTAGGATATGTATCAGCTCTTGCATGCTTTGTATCCCTAAAAGTGTAGACATTAAGGATTATGGAACATTTTCTACCAATTTTATGGCCCATTTACAGAGAAAACAGTAGGGAAACTGTCAATGAATACAAATAAGATGCTAAAATATGAAGAGTAAAAATCTAGAGGGAAATCAGAAAATCTGGAGTTTCAAAAAGTAATTACTTATTACGCTAAAGAGACCATCGGAGATGACATATTTTTTGATTTTGAAAAATTTTCATTTATATCT